AAACCAGCTCTGCAATAGATACTAAAGGGACTGCTTTAAGGAAAGGAAGGAAAAGAGAGAGACAGGAACACAGGCACAAAAATGGCAATGAATAAGTACCTATCAATAACAACCTTAAATGTAAATGAGTTTAATGCTCCAATCAAAAGACATAGGGTATCTGAATGGACAAGAAAGCATGACCCACACATATGCTGCCTATAACGGACCCACCTCAGGACAAAAGACCTACACAGACTGAAAGTGAAGGGCTAGAAACAAATTTTCCAAGGAAACAAACAGGAAAAAAAAGCTGGGGTAGCAATACTCATATCGGACAAAATAGACTTCAAAAAAAGGGCCATAAAGAGAGACCAAGAAGGTCACTTCATAATACCCAAGGGGAGAATCCACCAAGAAGACATAAACATTGTAAATATATATGCTCCCAACACAGGAGCACCCAAGTACATAAAGAAAATCTTAGAGGACTTCAAGAAAGATATTGACAGCAACACAATTATAGTTGGGGATTTTAACACCCCACTTCCAAAAATGGATAGATCTTCCAAACAAAATATCAAGAAAGATACTGTGGCATTGAACAATGCCCTAGATGAAATGGACTTAACTGATTTTATATATATATATATATATATATATATATATATATATATACACACACACAGCCCTTCATCCCAAAGAAGCTAAATACACATTCTTTTCAAATGCACATGGAACATTTTCAAAGCTGGACCACATGATAGGACACAAAACAAGCCTCAACAAATTCATGAAAATTGAAATCATACCAAGCATTTTCTCCGACCACAAGGGACTGAAACTAGAAACAAACCCCAAGGGAAAAAGAAACCCAAAACACTCAAAATCATGGAGAGTGAATAGCATGCTATTAAACAATGAATGGGACAAGAATGAAATTAGGGAAGAAATCAAAAAGTTTCTGGGAAAAAAACAAAAAAAAATGAACTCACAAATCTAGATATTCCACCCAGCAATATTTTCACCAATATGTCCCCTAGAGCAAGGGACATAAAGGAAAGATGGGATCTCATCAAAATAAAAAGCTTCTGCACGGCTAAAGAAAACAGTATTAAAATAAAGAGAACCAACCGTATTTGGAAAACATATTTGCCAATGATACCTCAGACAAGGGTTTAATCTCTAAAATATACAAAGAACTTACACGACTCCACTCTAAGAAGATAAGCAACCCAATTAAAAAGTGGGCAAAGGACTTGAACAGACACTTCTCCAAGGAGGACATACAGAGGATCCAGAGACACATGAAAAGAAGCTCAATATTGCCAGCTATCAGAGAGATGCAAATTAAAACCACAATGAGATACCACTTTACACTGGTCCGAATGGCCATCATAAACAAAGCAACAAACAATAGGTGTTGGAGAGGTTGTGGAGAAAAGGGGACCCTAGTTCACTATTGGTGGTATTGCAGACTGGTACAACCACTATGAATAACTGTATGGAATTTTCTAAGAAAACTAAAAATGGATCTGCCTTTTGACCCAGCAATTCCACTGCTAGGATTATATCCTAAGAACCCTGAAACACCAATCCAAAAGAACCTATGCACCCCAATGTTCGTGGCAGCACAATTTACAATAGCCAAGTGTTGGAAGCAACCTAGGTGTCCATCAGTAAATGAATGGATCCAAAAACTATGGGACATTTACACAATGGAATTCTATGCAGCAGAAAGAAAGAGGGACCTCCTACCCTTTGCAACAGCATGGATGAAACTGGAAAGCATTATGCTGAGTGAAACAAGCCAGGTGGTGAAAGACAAACACCATATGATCTCACCTTTAACTGGAATCTAAACAACAAAACAAACAAGCAAAATATAACCAAAGACACTGAAATAGAGAACAGGCTGACAGTGACCAGAGGGGAGGGGGGAGGGAATTTCAGGAGAAAGGGGAAAGGTTTGCAGGAACAAGTATAAAGGACACCTGGACAAAAACCAGGGGGGGGGTGGAAATGGGAGGGAAGTGAGGAGGGATGAGTGGATGGGTGGGTGGGTGGGTGGGCTGGGATGGGAGTAAAATGCAGAAAACTGTACCTGAAGAACAATTAAAATAAATTTAAAAATTTTTTAAATTTAAATTTTTTAAAAACCCTAAAAATAGATGTACTATATGACCCAGCAATTTCACTTGTATTTCTCCAAAATAATGAAAACACTAATTTGAGAAGATATATGCACCCCTATGTTCAATGCCACATTATTTACAATAGCTAAGATAAGGAAGCAACTTAGGTGTCCATCAACAGATGAATGGATAAAGATGTGGTATATATACGCAATGGAATATTACTCAGCAACAAAAAAAGGAATGAAATCTTGCCATCTGTGACAACATGGATAGAACTAGAGGGTATTAAGCTAAATTTAAAAAGTCGGACAGAGAAAGACTAATCCTGTATAATGTCACTGATCCGTGGAATTTTAAAAAATATGAATAAAACCAAAATAGAATCACAGAAGCAGAGGCTACACTGATGGTTGTGATGGTTGCCAGAACAAAAGGAATAGGTAAAAAATATGAAAGGGAATATAATCACTAATATTGTGAATGTTTGCACAGTGACAGATGAGTACTAGAATTAGTGGGGAGATCACACTGTAAGGAATAGAAATGTCTCATCACTATATTGTACGCCTGAAACTAAGATAACTAATATAGTATTATATATCAACTACACTTAAATAAAAAATATTTTTTCCAATTCCAATGTTGAACTAGTTAAAAATAATAGCATGCAACAAAAGCCCTTACCTTTTGAAGTGTTTTGGAAATCTAATTGTAAAGACTGGCAGCCCAGACTATTGTTTTTCTTTTTCCTGACAATGTCTGATTTCTTTCTAGACACTAACCACAAGTATCATGGTCTATTATGGTGTCATTAAAAAGTCCATTAAGATGACTTTTCAGGATTTCCAGTAGAGCTAACATGTGTCGACTACTGTCTTCAGCAAAGCTAGCAGAAGGGGCCTCTGGGCTGCTATTTTTTAAAGCAAGTATGTGTTTTCAAAACAGGTGTTACTGTTGACATGACCATTAAACATCCTGCTTCTCCACAGCTCCTAGAAAAACAGGTACTTTCTCATTTTAATTCTTAATACAAATTCCTGTACTCCACAAAAAGCTTTATGCCTAGGGGAATGTCCAGAATAACAGGAAACCTGTGAGGTGCATCTCTCAGTATGACACCAGAGCTCACCCACTATTTGGAGACTTACTAGCAGAAGGACTCGGCAGTGTAGACTTGGAAGTCACAAACACAATTAATATGGGAGCTGGACTTAACCCTCTCGTAATCGTGGCCAGGAGGTGGTAGACAAGTCTAGAGGTGGTTATTCTTCAGTTGCTATGATTACACAACTGACAAACAGATGTCAAAGGGCAGAGCAAACCTGTATATTCCAGAATCAAAGAGAGTTAAAGACAAATGGATCTTCAAGATCAGCCCTTTCAGGGATGCTTGATGTTTACTGTGTACAGGAACAGTCATAGTCCCACCCCTGAGATTCTGACTCTGCAAGACTAGGCTGCAGTTGCAGAAGCAGGAGTCCTGGCAATAGGGAACACTTTGAAAACACTTGCTTTGTGCCAGATAAGCTGCTGAGTTCCTTACAAATACCACCTTATTTAATTCTCACAACAATCCTATTGGGTAGGTACTACTATTACCCCAATTTTTCTGATAAGAATATCAAGCCAGAGAGGTTAAGGAATCTGTCCAAGGAAATGAATCTGCTAGGAAATGAATAAGGGTTCCAACCCAGATGGGCCGGCTTCAGAGTCTGAGCTCTTCACTTATCACTACCCTCCCCTATCCATCAACAGGATTAGGGTGGGCCCAAGGCATTAAGAAACTGTCCTGACTGAGGTCAATATTCTCTTTCTTGGGAGGAGACAATGAAGCCTAGAGAAGGGAAGTCTCTTATCTAAGAAAATGTCTTTCATTGCACTTCCAGGGAGAAATCCACCATTCTGTGATATCAGGTGTGTTTTTTCTTTTTAATCCTTACCTAAGGATATTTTTTTCATTGGTTTTTAGACGGGGTGGGGGGAGGTGGGAGGATAGAGAGAGAGAACATCCATTGGCTATTTTCTTGTACCTGCCCTGACAGGGGGGAATGGAACCTGCAACCTAGGTATGTGCCCTGACCAGGAATTGAACCTGCAACTGGCACAGTGTTCCAACCGAGTCACACTGGCCAGGGTGACATCGGCTGTTCTAAGCTTCCTCCAGGGAGAAAATGAACAGATGCCATTAGTAAAAGCCAGCCTGCTGCTCCTAGCTAAGTTACTCTGACCAAGGGGCTGCTCTGGGAAGGGATCCCATCCTTTTCTGCCCCACTCACGCTTCACTCACAGGATACGACACACTCCAGAGTCAGTGTAAGGGGCTCCCAATCATGGGATTCTCGAGGGAGGGAAAAGGGAAGGGGAAGGAGAGCTGCTACCCCCAAAAGGGGGACGGTGACTGGAATGTGGGAGATCAGGGTCACATAATTTGAGCATGAGGGAAAAAGACGTGATTCTGATATGGCTCCCAATTATGGCTTCCCCTAAACTGACTATTCTAAAATCTTAGCATGTGTTGAAACAACATTATGTCTTTGCTTTATTTTAATATATACAGGCAGGCCTAGAATGACCGGATTTATCCCGAGATAGAGCCACCCACGTACATTCTCTCAAAAAGCAATCAATACTTTTTTCAGTATTTGATATGCATGATTGGGCCAAAAACCTTCCAGATGCACTGAAACTGTACCTTTTTACTTAGTTGTCCTTTCTGTCAATCAGCAGGATTACTCTGGGGGACCACAGTAACGAAGGATGAGCCAGCATGACCACTGTGCAGAGGCATTTCCCAGACAACAGTGGGAGCTGGGGGCGTGGGGGGGGGGACTCAGACTTTGTTCCTGTGCCAGTGACGCAAACTGGTAGCCCCATCCAACCGACCTTCATCACTTCCACCTGCAGGTCTTCATTGAGGGACGGCGTCACTTTCACAGCATTCAGGACCTGATTGAGCAGCTGCTTCTCGTCAGAGTCCGTTTCCATGGATACAAACCTCTCTTCTGACAGAAGCTTCTGTAAAGAGGCACAAGGCAGTGATCAAGGATAGGCCTTCCCCTGCTGCCTGCTTCTGTCGTATCTTAGTATGTACTAAGGATAATTTTTCTTAGGAGACATGTAGCTGGAGGCCATTAGGAAAGAACTCCTGCTATGTCCCATTAAAAAGAGAAAAAAAAACCCACATCAAATCTTTGGTAAGCAGTTTTTTGTTTGTTTTTGGCAAAGTCTTTTTTCTGGTAGTAGGTAATTCATTATAAATTTTATCCAGTGAAATTCTAAATGGTGGCCATCCAGGCAATTTGGGTGACGGAGGTGGAGGATGAATGCTCCAAGGTGAACCTACACCTCACAACAGTCATGCTCACGCGTACTCTTTCTGAATGGGGCTTTGTCACAGGACAGCAGTCTTGCAGGCAAGTTCCTTTTCTCAGATGTTTACTTTTTTACTTATTACTGTGAACTATCCTTTAACTTAGGAACTTTTCACAAATCCACAAATCTTAATGTATTTTCATTAGAAAATGAATCTTAGAAAAACCTAACAAGAAGACATTCATGCCTTGACTATGTGTCTTAGTTTGGGTGTTGTTTCACAAAGTGGAAGGTCACAGGTTGGATTCCCAGCCAGGCACATGCCTGGGTGGCAGCCGGGTCCCTGGTCAAGATGTGTATGAGAGGAAACCGATCAATGTTTCTCTCCTCTTTCTCCCTCCCTTACCTTCTCTCTAAAAATAAATAAATAAAATCTTAAAAAGAGAAGACGACAATGACATTCACTTTCATGAGGTTTCCCAGGGGTCATTACACCTCATGGGACAGCCCTTTCCCCTTTCAGGACAACTCTTGCTTTTCATAAAATTCTTAGATTGTACCCAATCCACCTGCCTACAACTCCCTCATCATTCCCTAGAGCCACATGGACTAAGCTTCTAAAATAGCTGAAGTCAGCTAAGTCTATTCTTCTCCATACTAAACCTCCTCCAGCACCTTCACCGACACAGTTTCACAGATGCTCTCCTGCTTAGTATGTGGCCTCCAGAGTGAATGTAACCCCTCAAGGGTGGCCTGACATTAAAGAGTAGTACACCCTAAGGTAAACTATGGGCTGTAGGTGAGAATGAAATGTCAGTGAAGGCTCCTCCCTGATTAAAGGAGAGGAGGAAAGAGGAGGGGAGGGGAGTGAAAAACCCTGTACCACTCAGGTGAGTGACGTTGATGACCGGGAGGCTATGCATGTGTGGGGGCAGAGGTATGTGGGAAATCTCTGCACTGTCCTCTCAATTTTCTTGTAAACCTAAAACTGCTCTAAAATAATCAAGTCTTGAAAAATGATAAAAAAAAAATAAAGAGATGGCAGAAAGGAATAATAGAAAGAAATGGGGTCTTCGGTGGCCCCCCTGAGATACTTCACCAAATGTAAAACTGGGTATCTCTAGGACTCAAGTTCTGTCAAATAATTAAATGTGTTTATTGCCTAAAAAACAAGCACTGACTCATAGCTTTAATCATGTTCTCAGATCTCATTAGCTTAGCTGTAAGTCATGGTGCATAACGTGTTGACTTGTACAGAAACTCCTAACTCACACGCACAAGGGCTAAAATGAAGCTGTTCTCCACCCATTCTGTCCTGGACAGTTAATCTGTGAGACCTCAGTGAAGGGCTTTCTATGAATCTCTCTTCAGTCCAATCTTGGCCAATTCAGTGCAGAGTCACTGCTGTGAAGAACTTTTGGTTTCTGATTCATCCAGAATAATGACTCCCTCTTTTAGCTGATCAGGAGAACAAGGGTGGCCAACCTCCTTCTCAGGACTCTGACATTTTGCTTGTCTTCTCCAAAGAGCTTTTTCACTATCCTCTAGTTCATGCAGGGCAGCCCGCACTTAAAGTTAATAGACAAACCTCTTGGTAATTACAGGGAAAAGACTGGGAAGCCCTAAAAGAAAGCATCTGAAATTAATGGGAGGTAATAAGAGATGGTAAGAGAAAGTTCACTGCTCTCCAGGTCATGGACGTTACCATAATTAAGCAAGCCCTTGAAATCATAGTACCTTAACTTAGAGCATCAAAAGGTTTAAAAAAAAAGGAACTAAGTGGAAAATCTATACCACACTAGAGAGCAAGGACATCAGTAGCAGGTCAAAACAACCTACCTTTCATTTTTATGGTTGGCCTATTCCCTTGGAGAAAAGCAAAGAGTTTTAATAACATTATGGACAGTAATTAAAAAATTTCTAATGCCCCTGCATATTAAAACACAGTTTATCTAATTCCAATCCAGTGCAGAAAAGAGAGTCTACTTTTCTTACTTTTTCATACCTGTTAACTCAAAAGGTATTAGAGACCGCTCAGAACCTAGCAAGCGAACAATGAAATTGTGCATGCTGGTGTGAAAAGACATCCCACAATGCTGCTAATCCACGGCCATGCTGATAAACCCCTGCAGACTTGAACTTCACAGTGCCTGTCACTTAGAAACCAAACCACTTACAAAAGTCGATGCATTTACACAGCCATCCCCTTGGCACTGCTGGAATGAGGTCTATCATGTAATGTGTAAAACACAAATGAACAAACGCTCAGAGAGAAAAATGTGCTCAAGCATCTAACTTTTCTTATTAGACCAATTTTCTTTATTTCTTTCCAATCCTGCTCTAAAAACAGGAGACCCTGAGCCATTTACCAACTGAACTGTAGAGAAGAAAACAAAAAATCTTTCAAGTTTACCATCAATTTTCAGGACACAGAACCACAGATGTTGAGTGATAAAAGATTGGAGATGGTATGGAACCTGAGGTGTCTCTTTTGAAATCCCTTCTCCTAAAAGTCGGACAGCACACAAATTATTCCACTTCTTATGGGCTGAGCTGGGTGGCCATTAATCAGTGTGTGAAGACAAATGCTCAACAAGATAATGCTGTGCACAGAGGAATGCTGAGAAATATTTTGTAATTTAATTTATTTATCTTTAGAAGGGAAGGATAGAGGGAGAGAAATATCAATGTATGGTTGCTTCTTGTGTGTCCCCTGCTGGGAACTGGCCTGCAACCCAGACAAGTGCCCTGACTGGGAATCGAATTGTGATCTTTTGGTTCACAGGCCCATGCTCAATCCACTGAGCTACACCAGCCAGGGTGAGAAATATTTTTAAAAATCTTGCTATCCTCTATGCTTATTACCTAGTTTAATAAACTTCTGTCTGGGTCTTTAAACAGCTAGCATTTAAAATATTAACTCTTTGTTCTTTCCACGCCAAAGCGGCCTGTGAGTTTCTGTCCCTCCCCCACCCCTACCCTGTATACTCAGTGAGAGACATACCTGTATCCCTGCCAAGGCGTGTTGGGCCAGCTTCGTATTCTTGGATTCCAAAGCCAACTGGAGAGGCAGCAGGCATTTCTCCCTGGCAAACACGTAAGTAAGGACAACATGTGAGCTCAGCAAAATTGGCAGCCAAGTGATGGAAGCCTTATGTACCTACCCCCCAAATGCTGCCAAATATATACAATATGAACACTATAACCAGTTATCAAAATGCACATGAGCTTTAAAAACCACACAGCAAAAACCACAAGTTGTGCAGAAATGGCAGCATTGCAGCAGCTCGCCTTCTTAGGATGGCTCCAGGAAGAACAAACACGGAGACTCTCAAACGGCTGTTTTGCTGCACTGGCTACTAGATGACGGGACCCTGACCCATCCACAAACACGTCCTGCTCTTTCCCAGATTAATAGAACTGCTCATACCCATACACCTGGGATGAGCGACTCCAGCCAGTACCGTTTAGACAGATTTCCATGCCTCGCTCATTCCCCTCCATCACCAAGGAAGTGATGGCATCCCCACCACCACTGCCTGGCCTCATCAGTATAAACAAAAATTCTAGTAACTGTCCATTTCTCCCCAAGTCAAAGTGCTCCATAATTATTTACTATATCTAAAGTGTTCTTTTTAGTTTCCAATAACAGGTATACCTGAATTTCCAGATGGATTCTTTTAAAATTATTATTTATACATATTTTTTATTGTTTTAAATTGTTGTTCAAGTACATCTGTCTCCATTCCCCCCACCCCAGCCATCCCCACCTCCCTCCCCTGATCCCACCCCACCTTGGTCTTGTCCATGTGTCCTTTATAGTTGTTCCTACAATATTTGGACAGATTCTTAATAAAAACATTTTCAAGACAGAAATACAAGTTATTTATTAATGGCTTTAACCAATGACAAATACCTGGTATCATGGAAGGAACAGACAAAATACATGGAGAGCTACTTGGATGTTTTAAAGCTTAAAGACAGTAACTGAGCACTACAGCATGTAAGCAATAAACCAAAAGGACTACAGAGATAAACAAATCTGTTGGAAGCATTCGCTCTAAATAATTAAACAACAGACCAAGAATTTTAATCACCCATTATCTCCCCATGGAGTAACACGGGCACGACAAATGAAATGTTACTTAATTCTACCTGGTTCTTCCATCCCCACTGAAGCCAGAGCAGCTGCGTTGTTATCTGTTTCATATTTTCACCATAAACTGAGAGGTCATGACCTTAGAGGGTGTGAAAGCCACAGGGTAAGACTACAGAATCTCATCTTTGGAGAAATAAGGGTCGCCGCTGCAAGAGCACAGAAGTTAATTATAGCTCTGACTCCTTCCCGTCCCACCGGGCAGCCCTGCTGCTCTTCCACCGACTCCTCTGTCAGCAGCTCCGAGAGGTGAAGTGAGAATCACAGACACTTCCTAACGCTGGTCACAAAGGACAAAAACAGACTCCCTCACAAAGAGCATTCGCCTTCCTAACCCTTCTCACCTGTCCCCTCACTAACCAGTTGTTATGGCACCCGCTGGTATATGACAACTGATTAACACTAAAGCCATTTTTTCATTAGATACATCCTTTGACCGATGAATCAATTACCCAACTGTGTTACTTCCACTTGGGTGGTTACCCGAGTCACTGTTATTATCATCAGCTTGTGACAATTACGAGGCAAACACGACCCTGCAGTCAATTAAAGCAGGAGTAGCTGATTTTTCCAATGTTGTTTTTTGTTTTATTTAATTGTAACCAGTTTATAAGCTTGGGAAAATTCATTGGAAGGATGAAGTTGAGTGAGAAGTAGGAATAATGGGCAGAAGGAGTATCGACAGAAGAACCATAGAACTTCATCTGCAAACACCCAAAACAGTCCAATTTGCACCAGGATTCACTCACTGTGGGAGAACTTTCATCTCCAATTTAGAGTCACACCTGCCAATGCGGGCAGAGTACCGGTGAGTCAGTGCGGAGGTCCAAACCTCCTGTGGTCTCACAGCCAGGAGCAGGGAAAGTATCTGTTGAGTGGCTATGTGCTGAAAATTCATGAATATTACATATTACTCATCAAAGAGTATCCAACAAGAGGAGAAACCATGTTCAGCAGCAACAAGAACACCCCTGGAAATGCTGAGCCGCCCTAACCCTTAGAAAGCAGCGTTATGACTGCATTAAACAGGTGCCTACCCATGTTACTGTCCTTGGCAGTATTAGTCCTTGAAATGCTCATTCCACTCTCTCACCTGTTTGTTTATACAGTCACACGATTTACACTGCAGACCTGAGTGTGGACCAATGCCAGGACCACCAGGCTGCACCATGATTCCAGGGCACATCACTGAACTGCTCCCCATGCCAGTCACGGTCACCAGGCAGGACTGGAAGATGTCCTGGATTCAACTAGGTATTGGCTGAGTTAAAGGTATTGGTGTTTAGTGGAAAAAAACAGGGGCTGCAGAATCACGCAGACCTGAATTCAAATCCTAACCATTTACAAGTTATGTAATCTCGGTCATGATGTTTAACTCTGTTGGTCTTAGCTTTTCAATCCATAAAAAGGACATCTTACAGCTAACCCTGCAGCTGTAGTAAGGAGTATGGATAATATACATCCAGGGTTGGCAAACTTTTTCCACAAAGAGAAGGAGAATGAATATTGGGTTGGCCAAACAGTTCGTTTGGTTTATTCCATAAGAGGACTCTAGTAGTTCTTAGTTTTCTTTAACTTCATTTGAAACAAATGTTAGATTGTATTGTGACAGCTGTCATATCAGCATGCATTTCAAAAAACTTACCAAAACTGGTGAATTTTTGTGTAATTGTTTTTAGTATTGAAGGTGGGAGAATATTTCCAACATTTTTGTCATATAATGTTGTATTATTTCAAGACAGGTGAAAACGCAACTGAAACATATAAAAAATGTGGGTAGTGTATGGAGAAGGCGCTGACTGATTGAATGTGTCAAAAGTGGTTTGTGAAGTTTTGTGCTGGAGATTTCTCACTGGACATTTCTCCATGGTCAGGTAGACCAGTGAAGTTGATAGTGATCAAATCAAGACATAACTGAGAATAATCGATGTTATACCATAGAGACATACTCCAAATATCCAAATCAATAAAGGTACTGGTGAAAATAAAAATGTGTCTTTTATTTTATGGAAAAAACTAAACAGACTTCCCATGATCTCCAGGAGGCTTTCACAAAGGATGTGGGGCTACCTCTCCTGGGAGGGCTGTCTCAGCAAAACCAGTCAGAGCACCCAGCTCTCTCTTGGAAAATAAGTGCTTTGAGGAAGCAGGCTGAGAGATTTCTTCTGGGCAGTGTACCCAGGCACCCACTCCATCCACTCAGCCAAGCCATTCAGCCAACATTTGAGTGCCTACTGTGGGCAACACATGATGGGTGCTCAAGAAGATCTGGCAAGGAATAAGACAGAACAGATAGCTGCTTTCATTTTATTCATGAGATAAAAGAGAAAAAAAGAAAAGTAACATTTAGCATTTTTTTAGTCTACCTATCAATATAACCTTAAAGTGGGCATTTTAAACCTTGTTTTACATTTGAGAAAATGGGGGTTCAGAAAGGTTCTGTAGCCTGGTCATGTCACGGCGACACAGCTAAAAACCTGTTGGAGACCATTCAAACCCAAGTCCATCTGACCTCCAAGACCAAATCCCCTCCACCACTATTTGGTCTCAAAAAGTCAGAGCAAAGCTAGAACAGATTGATTTCTTAACCTTTTCTGGATCATAAACACACAAAAATGTGGCCAAAGACCCTCTTCCTAGAAAATAATTTCAGGGGATTCACAGCCCCACCCCCAAACCCCCACTCCACATGGATCCCATGTTAATATCCCCTGCTCACAGGACAGAGGACCCTGCCCAACAGAGCAGAAACTTCAGTGGCTGCCTCAGAAACAAAGGCCATGTTCCCTGGTGGGGCTTAGGGTTCCACTAGAAGGGGCGGTAGCTGCGCTTGTGCAGCGCGTGTGTGTGTGTGTGTGTGCGCACGCGCCTAGGAGGTGAGGCAGATAACTCTCCTCAGTACCCAAGGCCTCCCATCCCCTTGGACCGAAAAGTCCTAGATCAGCATCACAAAACTCAGATCCTGACCTTGATAGTGAAGGAACACATGCAGGAGATGAATGAAGCTCACGGGGCACAGGCAATTTCACAGTATGCACTGTGACACCATAAAACCCTGCTGCCTGATTTTTTACAGACAACTTTAATAGAAGAGAATAACAGGGCCTGTGAACTGAGTCTAAGGATGCAATTTATTATGCAGAAGAAACATGGCACACACTCTGTGCCCTTTGCACATAGTGTATTAGAATAAACCATTTTTGATCTTTCTAGATGTTGCCTCATTGGGAGAAGGGAATGCCAAGAACCAATATTCAATTATATTAAGCGATTATTTTTTATGCACAGGCACGTGCAAATCCACTCTTGCCTAATTAAATAAAGGCAGTGGCCCCAGGTTTCGTGCCCTGACATGCCGTTATTTCTTAAAGCAGAATGATTAGCAGCGCTGCTTATGCACGAGGGAGGCACCATCCTGCACCACAGTGCCAGGGCACGTGGAGGAGACTGAGCCGATTTCCGTAACTGCACTAACTGGTTCACAGACCAGCTTTATTACTGGGCTGGAAGATAACAATGGAAAAGGGGAAATGAAAATAGGTGAATGGGGGAAAAGTTGGCATTTACCAAAAATTACCTTTCAATATGTGCACAAACATGAACTTCAAGTAAAAACCAAATGCACTCCTGAATGTTAGGCTGATTCCCCTTTGATGCCTCACGGGAAGGAGCACAAAGGTACTTTATAAAGTACTGAGGTTTGCTGGAACCTACGCCATTTACTCAATAACTGGCTTCCTTCACATAATAACCATGACTCTGGTTGAAAATCAGTGGTTTCTATGTGCAAAGTACCATGCTACACATGTCTGTATTTACCATTTTATTTCATTACAATTTTTGAAAGTAGAAATTTGTTAGCCAAAGAGATTAGATTTACCTGTCCAAGGTCACATATGTATAAACAACAAAGCTGTGATTTAAACTTCA